CATGGCGCAGCCCGCATGTTGGCGACACCCCCGTTTCGGCCCCCTCAGACGTTTCGTTGCCCCATGGGAGCTCCACCTAAAGCCCAAGTGGCGCAACCCGCATGTGGGCGACACCCCTGTTTCGGCACACCCCTCACACGTTCCGTGGCCCCTACAAGGAGCTCCACCTACGGTCCCAACGGCGCAACCCGCATGTGGGCGACCCTCCCGTTTCGGTACACCCCTCAGATGTTTCGTAGCCCCAACGGGAGCTCCAACGTGGGCCCCAGTGACACAGCCCGCATGCGGACCTTGCCCCGTCTCAGACGGTGCTCACACTTGCGGTACTCACAACGGCATATGGCTGAGTTCTTCGCCAGGCTTTTTTTGCCTCTCTCTATCACCTCCTTTTTCGCCCCTCTGCCCTCATCCCTCCTCCTCCGCTTCCCTTCTGCCCCCCTCGTTTCTTCTTCACCCTTCCTCCCAACTCCTCCCTATCCTACCACCTACATAAAAAGATGAGCCAAATCCCGAAACTGCCATTTGGGGACCAAGGTCCTCTACGAGACCCCGGTCGGCGGATGGAACACGATCTAACGAGATGGGGAGGGATGGGCGGGAGGGATCGGATGTAAAGTGCGGCGTGAGTGCACCTGGCTTGCTCGACCCCTTTTCTTCTTCCTACAGTCGGGGCGTTGACCTAAGGAACCCTAAATAAGGAACGAGGCCCTTTTTCCCACGAATTCAACTTCGATTTCCAATGGAAAACCTCGGGAAAACCCGAGGCAAACTGTAAAACAATCAAGGAGCACCGAGCCCCTCCCCAACGAAAAGGGTTCCTTCTTCAGCGCCCCGACTGTACTCGTATTTCCTCGGCCCGACCGGAACGGTCGAGCTGTCCGAACCGCAGACACCGTTGGTGACCTCCCGTTTGTCTTCGGACTACGACTTGGTCCTCAAGGGGCCGCTCGGGACGATACTCGGCACCACTGGAACGCTCTCGGCGAGGCGCAGCTGATGGAGACCACCCTGGGTGCAACCCCCGAAATCTTCCGAAACCCTTTGGTTGGGGACCAAGGGATTACATTAACACAAACTTCAAAAGGTCCGCGCGGATTTCCTGGATTGGCACTGCGCGCCAGCGGGGCACAACGCCGATCCGAGAAATCCGCGCGGAACTCCGAATGCTTACGTTCATGCAGTTCCTCTTACTCGAAGAAACATTCGACCCCTCTACCCCTCGTGCTTCTTCGGCCCCACCGTCTTGAGAGGGCACCCCCTCCACTATTCCTCCTCCCCCTCCCTCCTCTGTCCTCCCATCTCCCTCCTCCTCCTTCCTCTGCTCGCCCTCCTCCCTCCTCCTCCTCTTTCCTCCTCCTCGCCCCCTCTACATCTACTCATGATGAATACTTCTTTCTTCTCTCCCCCGACTACGTCCTGTGGTGTGGGGTCCCCGTTTCGAAGAGACAGCGCCCGCGTCACTCCTCCTCCTTCCTCCCTCCTCCCATCGTCATCATCATCTTCATCGTCACCATCTCGGAGCTCCACCGAGGGCCCTAGTAGCAGGGTCCGCATACAGTCCCCCCAATTTCGGTGCACATTTCTCACGTTTAGTGGTCCCATAGCTCCACCGACGGTCCCAGTGACAGGGTCCGCGTAGTGGCAAGGTCCGCACGCAGTTCCACCTTCCATCCCGGCGCACCCCTCACACGTTTCGTGCCCCCGTATGGAGCTCCGCCGAAGGCCCCAGTGGCAGGGTCCGCAAGCAGTTCCATCCTCAATTTCGGCGCACCCCTCACACGTTTCGCAGCCCTATTGGGAGCTCCATCTAAGGCCCCAGCGGCAGGGTCCGCGTGCGGTTCCCCCCATCCTGGCGCATCTCTCACACGTTTCGTCACCGTAAGGAGCTCCACCGAAGGCCCGTGTGGCAGAGTCCGCATGCAGTTCCACCCGTCATTTCGGCGCACATCTCCCACGTTTCGTGGCCCCGTAGGGAGCTCTGCCGAAGGCCCCAGTGGCAGGGTCCGTGTGCAGTTACATCCTCAATTTCGGCGCACCCCCCACAGTTTCGTGGCCCCGTAGGAACTCCACCGAAGGCTCTAGTGGCAGGGCCCGTATGCAGTTCCACCCCGCCATTTCGGCGCATCTCTCACATGTTCCGTGGCCCCGTTGGGCGCTCCACAGAAGGCCCCAGTGGCTGCGTTCGCATGGCGTGCCCGCACCCGAACCAACACACCCATCACACGTTTCGTGGCCCCTTCAGGAGCTGCCCCTCGTTCGTCCCACCTGCCTTGGGGTACTCGCACCCGCCCATGGACCCGTGCTTCGCCAGGATACTTTTCAACACTGGACTTCAGGCATTTACTTCATCACATGGTTTTGTGAATCGGTCCGTTTTCGGTGTTTCAATGTGGTGCTCCCGCTGCAGCGTGGGCCTCACTTCGGGATTGGCGCTTTCCCCGTCGTTCAGAATGGCGCTCTTGCCCCAGCGTGGGCCACTCTTCTCGATCCGAGTCCTTCCTCATCGCCGTCGCCCCGCTCCTTCCACCCCCGCCTTCCTCTGGTCTTCCTGCTCCCCCCGCTCCTCCCACTGATGCTCCTCCTGCTGCTGTTCCTCCCCGTTCTCCTCCTCTCTCGTTCTCCCCTTCCTCCTGCTCACCCTCCAATGTACACGGCTCTGACACGACGCGGTTCTTTGGGAGGTTCCGGGTCCGCTATGACACCCGTCAGCTGCGGATCGATCAAGCATCAACGCAGTGGGGAGGGATGGGTGGGAGAGGTAGGGTGTTAAATATGGCGCGAGCGCACTTCTCTTGTCCGCCTCCCCTCTCCCTCCTATTTTCCTCCTCCTTCTCTTTCTACTCCTCCTCCTCGCCCCTCCCAAAACATCCGATGTCTTGACTTTTTCAAAATGGGGTCCCCGAATCCTGGATCGTGCTTGACGGTCCTGGGGCCCAGCTTCCACAGGGCTGGAAACGACGACAAGCGTCAATGGACGATAAGGCCTGAACGAAAAGGACGTTGGATGTCTGGGTCCTCCTCTCTTTCGCCCCCCCCGCCCTAAGATCCTATATCGCAAAGCGTTGAACATCGCCTGAAATCACGACCAGAGCCTGGAACTACACCTTTCTGCGGCATTTTTCGAGCTGGATCGATCCGTGAGCCCTGGGGCCAGCAACCGTGCGAAAGCGCCTGGCGTGAAATGATTCGAGCGAAGGACCCAACCACATGCGGCTGTGAGTGCCACATTGTGTGGCTCCCTATGGGGCCACGAAGCGCGTGATGGGGTGTCCTGTCATGGGTGGGGGAGACGCATGCGGCCGTGGCCAAAGGGGTCTTCGGTGGAGCGCCCTATGGGGCCACGAAGCGCTGCACTGGGCGGGGGCAGACTCATGCGACCGCGGTCACTGGGGCCTTCGGTGCAGCTCCCTAGGGGGGGGCACGAAGCACTGCACTTGGTGGGGCAGGCGCATGCGGCCGCGGTCACTAGCAAGGCCTCCGGTGGATGGAGCAGACGCATGCGGCCGCGGCCACTGGAGCGTTCGGTGGAGCTCTTTCTGGGGCCACGAAGCGCTGCACTGGGCCGGGGCAGACACATGCGAATGCGGCCACTGGGGCCTTCGGTGGAGCTCCATATGGGGCCACGAAGCGCTGTGCTGGGAGGTGCGGGCGCATGCGGCCGCGGTCACTGGGGCCTTCGGTGGCGCTCCCTTGTGGGGCCACGAAAAGCTGTACTGGGTGGCGCGGGCGCATGCGGCCACGACCACTGGTATGGGGCCACGACACGCGTGAAGGGTGTACCGGTATGGTTGACATGCGGAAGGCAGAGGCAGGGATGGGATGCGGGGGGGAGGAGGAGAAGAGTGACACGGGGTGCTGTCTCTTCAAAACAAGAACCCGACACCACAACATGGCTGGGAACAAATGCATCGCCTGGATCTCAGGGCCCTCGTAATTTCCTCGGCCCCGCGTCTCCTGCGACGGCACATCCTCCTCCACGTGGCGCCGGTTTCCCCTCATGAGGGGCAACGATACGGGGGGATCGGCTCAGGGAGGCAAGTATCGATTTGGCATCGGCGATGCATCGCCGACGAATCGGCGATAGGCCTCCAGAGCGAAACCGCAGATTCCTGGGCGGGTTGGACAATCGGGCCTCCATCAGCGACTTATGGGCGGCTGAGGGTCCATGAATGCGTCTGCCCCTGAGTCTATCCTTAGCATGGGGAAGGCGGGTCCTGAGGGAACGTGTCCTGGACCTCGGGCCGTGTCTCAAGACCAGCAAGCCTTCCCCCCTCCCCGTGCCTCCCTCTGTGCGTGGCCGACGTTTCCTTCAGGACCCGTCTCCCCCATTGCGACCCCTGGCGTTGCCCCTGGCCTCGGCAGCACCACGTGTTGGATACCAGCCCGGTGCGCGGCGGACCTCGGCATGGCGCGGTCGCGCTCGCGGCCTCTGGCCCCCGCCCGTCCCCTCCCTGAAAGGGGATGAGGAGGAGTGGGAGGAGGAAGAGGCGGAGGCGGAGGCGGAGGCAGGGGCGAAGCCAGGAGGGAGAGGAGGAGAGGAGGAGGAGCAGGAGGAGGAGGAGGAGGAGGAGGAGGAGGAGAAGGAGGAGGAGGAGGAGGAGGAGGAGGAGGAGGAGGCTGAGGCGGAGGGGGAGGAGGAGGAGGAGGAGGAGGAGGAGGAGGAGGAGGAGGAGGAGGAGGAGGAGGAGGAGGAGGAGGAGGATAGAACGCTGCAGCTGCTCAGCTTGAGTCCGAGGAGGATGAGGAGGAGGAGAACGAGGAGGAGGAGGACCAGTGGAAACACAAAAGGCATCAACGATGTTGGAGTAAACGCTCCCTCCAACCCCCCTCTTCACAGGCCCCTTACAACGATTCATTTTTATTGAGGGAGCTGCCTGGTTGGAAGACAACCGTTTGAAGATCCTGAAACATGCCAAGACATTCTTCTCGGGATTCCAACACCACGAATCAACCGGATTGTTGCGTCTTTGACGATCCTGAATCGTGCCAGAACGCCGTGCCTGGGACTTCAACACCGCGAATGAAAGTAACTGTTGCACCCTCTTAATCCTGAATCCTTTCAAAACACGATTTCTGGTATGATGATCGCGGGAATCCGTGAAACTCTTGCCAAATTTAAAAACGAATGTACGAGGAGCCAAAGCGATAACCACATTTTGCAAACAGGAAACCCTGAATCCGTGAAGCTCCTGCGACTTTTTGGGAAGAATTGGCGCGGCGCTGAAACGAAAACTGCATTTTGAAAACGGGCGGGCCTTAATCCGTGAAGCTCTTGCAGTCTTGAAAACGAATGTGCGCTTCGCTACGGTGAGAACCACATTTTGGAAAGGACCCCCGCCCTCCATCTGTGGTCAAGTGGTGAGGAACTCTCAGGCGAAACGCCCGGCCCGCCCCAAAAACTGGCTTCGGGGTGCGACAGGGAGATGTTGCTTATAAGGAAAAGGAACGGAGGAAGAGGAGGAAAAGGAGGAGGAGGAGGAAGAGGAGGAAGAGGTGGAGGAGGAGGACGCGGACGCGGACGAGGACGAGGATGATGATGATGATGATGATGATGATGATGATGGTGTTGATGATGATGCTACGTATGATGATAATGATTATGATAATGATGAGGAGGAGGCGGAGGATGAGGAGGAGGAAGAGGAGTAGGAGGATAACGAGGAGGAGGAGGAGGAGGAGGAGGACCAGTGGAAACCCAAGAGGCATCAACGATGTTGGAATAAACGCTCCCTTCACGCCCCCACTTCATAGGCCCCTGACAACGGTTCATTTCCACTGAGGGAGCTGTCTGGTTGGAAGACAACCGCTTGAAGACCCTGAAACATGCCAAAATATTGTTCTCGGGATTTCAACACCACGGATCAAACTGATTGTTGCTTCTTGACTATCCCGATTCGTGCCATAACGCCATTCCTGGGACTTCAACACCGCGAATCAACGAAACTGTTGCACCTTCTTAATCCTGAATCCTTCCAACACAGACTTTCTGGTACGATGATCACGGGAATCCGTGAAACTCTTGCCATATTTAAGAACGAATCTGCGCGGCGCTAAAGCGAAAACCACATTTTGAAAACGGACCACCCTCAATCCGTGAAGCTCTTGCAACTTTTCGAAACGAATGTGCGCGGCGCTAAGGCGAAAACTGCATTTTGAAAAAGGGCGGCCCGTTATCTGTGAAGCTCTTGCATTTCGTAAACGCATGTGCGCGAAGCTAGGGCGAAAACCACATTTTGAAAAGGACCCGCCCTCCATCTGTGGTCAAGTGGTGAAGAAGTCTCAGGCGAAACGCCGGGCCCGCCATAGAAACTGGCTTCGGGGTGCGACAAGGGACAAGTTGTTTATAATGAAAAGGAATGGAAGAGGAGGAGGAGGAAGAGTAGGTGGAGGATGAAGAGGAGGACGAGGAGGAGGAGGCGGAGGAGGAGGGGGCGGAGGAGGATGAGGAGAAGGAGAAAGACGAGGACGAGGATGATGATGACGAGGATGATGCTGCTGATGCTGATGATTATGATGATGATGAGGCGGAGGAGGAAACGAAGGAGGACCATGAGAAAGAAAAAGAGGAGGAGGGAGGAGGATGAGGATGAGCAGGAGGAGGAGGAGGCAGGAGGAGGAGGAGGAGGGGGAAGAGGAGGAGAAGGAGGAGGAGGAGGAGGAGGAGGAGGAGGGAGGAGGGAGGATGGAGAAGGGATGAGGATGAGGATGATGATGAGGAGGAGGAGGGGGGGGAGAGGGACGAGGATGAGGAGGAGACGGATGAGGATGATAAGGAGGAGGAGGGAGCGCAGAGGGCGGAGAGCAAAAGGCGGAGGGCGGAGTGAGGAGGGAAGAGGAGGGAGGATGGAGGAGGGAGTAGGAAGGAGGGAGGAAGGGGGGAGGGAGGAGGGAGGTGGAGGGAGGAGGGAGGAGGAAGGATGGAGGTGGCAGGAGGGAGGAGGGACCAGGGAGGAGGGAGGAAGAGGGAGGAGGGAGAAGGAAGGATGGATGGATGGCAATATGACGGTGTCATGCCAAAACAAATCGGCCTCCCCTGACCTCGAACAGGAACTGCACGGACCAGATGAGGAAGTGCAAACGAGCGAGAAGCCCAAAATGATGTCGCCGATGGAGACGCCAGTGATAACACAAGAAGACTCCGAACAACAGACTTTGGATGAATACCTCAGCGAACACACAGTGAGCAAACCAACAAAACTGAAAAAGGACCAACTCGATTCGGCCCAAAAGAGCAACCTCAAATTCCACAAGCAACAGCAAGAGGCTCCAAACAGAGATCGCCAGCCCCGTTCCCTGCTTCATTGGCCCAAACAGCGGCCACTTTCTTTCCTTCATGCCCACCAATGCGCTGAAAGGATTGATCTCACCCGCTGAGACCAATCAAAACTTGAAATGAAATGCCCTCCCCAGGCGGCTGTGGGAGACGACCACAAAGTAATTGACGACGCCAGCACAGCACTGAAGAGAGCCCCATTGCAAAAGGATAGCTGAACACGTGGCAGCGCAGATGACCCAAATTATTGTAGCCAGCCGAACTGCAAGAGCACCATGCCCGAACAAAAGGTAACGACAACGTGAGCCCAAATTTATTGAGCCTCCGTCTCAGCACCCGATGTCGGCTCTGTAGCAGAGAATGTGCAGCGCCCCGCAAACATCCACATGACAGCGGCATTGAGTTTGGCCCTCGGATGGATGCGTCTCGCAAGCTCGTCGGCACTATTGATGACGACCGTGTCCGCGCTGACTGCTGCGAGCTGCTCGTCCAAAACTCGCTCCATCTGGTGATCCATGGCATGATCCCAATATGAGGCGTAAGGTCCTGACCAATGACTCACGCGACGAAACTCGTGATTGCGTAAAAGGAAAGGCGCTGGCTCCCTCGGAATGGCAGCGGCTCCCATAGCCCTGCAGACAGCAACTGCGCAGGAGTGGCACATGGAACCGTCCCATTGAGCTGTGAAAGCAACATGCCAGCGCCATGCAGTGGCTTGATAAGCCAGCGCTTCTGAATTGAAGCTTCCGTCTCGCTCTAAATAGTTGCGAAGCTGAAACGGCCCATCCTGAGTGCCTCGCATGACCAAATCACTCCCGTGGCCGAGCGGGCGCATGGCCGCCGTTGGGTTACTGTGCGTAGTCCCTTCCATGGGTCTGTAATTCGGGATCGGGCGTAATGAAGCCATGAAACTGGGCACCGCGGCGATCCGCATGCAGTCCGTGCGCCGTGCAATCTCTATGATCGTGGCGTTCGGAAGCTGACCATGGAGCGCCTCATATATGAGCTGGTCGTAGAGAAGCCTGCGAGTCGTAGCGCCGATCTGCCTCTGACCAAGGTATCGACGCAAGAGACAATCGAGGTCATCGCGAAACGACGGCGGCGGACAGACGCAGGATACCACAACCACAGCCGGCACCACTGCAAGGGCTGACCCAAAAAGGTTAAGTAAATCTCGTTTTCGCACGCTGACCCCTAGTTCCCGCAGAGCTTGAGCATGGTGCTGTTCCAGTACACTGATGTCGACGTCTGATGCCTCCCAGCACCCCAAGAGATTAGGATCCATAGCGCCGATGATCTGTGCCTGTCCAGACCAGGGTGTGGGGCGTCACCAGGGGCTCCCACGCAAGGAACCCTCCTGGCCGTGCCGACCCTTAAAAGGGCCAGACCACCGAAGCACCCTCCCCTGTGAGTCGGAGTGCTCCTCTCGAACGTCGGAAAAGACTTCCTCGCTTTCGTCAAGCACGAGCGCCTGCGCACCAGGCGCGGGTGGCGTGCTGTCCCCCAAGCACCACGAGGCGGCGCGAGGACTGGCCAAGTAGGAGCGCACAAAATGTGACAAGGAGGGCGTATGGTGTAAGGACCACCCAGTAACCCCCCCCGCCCCCGCTCGGGCCAGAGTTGCTTGAGGAGGAGGGAGAAGGAAGGAGGGAGGAGGGAGGAGGGAGGGCGGAGGGAGTGCGGAGGGAGGGCGGAGGGAGGGAGGGAGGAGGCAGAAGGCAGGAGGCAGGAATGAGTAGGGAGGAGGGAGAGAGAGGAGGGAGGAGGGAGGAGGGGGGGGAGGGGGGAGGGAGGGAGGGAGGGAGAGAGGAGAGGGAGGGGAGGAGGAGGTGGAAGAGGAAGAGGAGGAGATGAAAATCGACCCTCGTCGCCTCCCGCGCCGGGAAGCACCTCGGCCGCGCCCGCCCGTGGCCGCCGAGACCTCGTCGCCGGGCGGCCCTCGCCGTCAGGTGGCCCCGCGGCGCCGCAGGGGTCCGCGGCCGCCCCCGCGGGCGCCAGGGCGCCAGGGGGGGGCGCTTCGCACCGTCTGCTGCTCGCGGTGGGTCCTGCTCTTGGGCGGAACGGGAGAGAGAACTGGACAGGGGCACCAAGTGCGGCCGAGGCGAAGAGACGCTGCCGCAATCTCGGTCGACCAACGTGTCCGACGTGCCCCCGGCCCTCCAAACGTGCGGTCTCGAGACTCCTGCGCTTCTTCAGCAGTCCTTCCAACATTTGATGCAGGCGTCGCTGAGAGGCCGGCATGTGGCAATGGTCGGGGCCAACAAGAGCTGCGCGGGATGGGCTCGGTGCCATCCAAGATCTTTCCGCTGCTGGGGAACATGCGCTATCGCGGTCGTAGGAGTCGGCCGTCTTCGTGCAGAGGACCTAAAGAACCTCCAGAGCGCCAAATTCTTCCGCGGTACCATCGGATCGCCGTGGCCGCCGAAGCTACGTGACCAAGGCACGTTTATAACGTAAGGTCCTGACGACTGAACCTTAGCTTGGATGCGGGTGCCGTGTGGGCTTCACTAATGCGAACCTTCTTAGGAAACTTGCTGGATTCCGTTGAGTTCGGGGTGGCAGAATCCAGGGAGTGTAGATGGTGAAAGTTGATGCACGACCTCCAACTTCTGCTCCACCTAGGTGCCACGACGCATCTGCCCGAATCCCATGCCGAATTTCGAAAGAACGCTAGCGCCAAGTCTTTCGAGTCGAAGCTCGTCTCGCAAGGGCAACGCCACGCTGACCATGCCGCCCAGAGCCTCGTACTGAATTTCCTGATGGAAAGCTACCCGTGCGAACGTATAGATCGGCACCGTTTTACCTCATATCCTGAGTGTGGGCCATTGTTATTACTCAGACGCCTTTGGACCTTACCTCACCTCCTCCTCCTCTTCCTCTCTCAGGCGCAGTCGTTCACACTCAGACTTACTCATCAACACCTCTTCCTCACTCGCACCCACTCATCACACGGAGACTCACCCATACTCAGACTCATCCAGACTCAGACTCGTTCATACTTGAACTCACTCACATTCAGACTCTCATACTCAGACTCACTCACACTCAGACTAACCCACACTCAGACATACCTACCCTCAGATACAGTCATACTCAGACTCACTCGTACTCAGACTCCTACCAATCATACTCCTACTCAGACTCACTCACGCTCAGACTAACTCACGCTCGTACTCACTCGCGCTCAGACTCACCTACACTCAGACTCACTCACACTCATAATCAATCATACTACGACTCACTCAGACTCATACTCACTCACACTTCGATTCACCCACTGTAGGACTCACATACAAGTGCTTACCGCGATCTAGCAAACGTGGCATTTGGGGACCCGAAGGGGAAGTCGCCAGTGGTGGGGACACTTCAACTCTCGCGTCCACATTGTGGGGACGTCTCGGGCGCTTTGCCTGTCTCGCCCCCCTGGCTTCCTCCCGTTTCGTGGTCCGGTGCTCACCGCGTTGTAGCAGGCGTGGCGCCCGGGCACGCCAAGCGGGAGCCGCCAGGGGTGGGGACGCTCACATCTTCGCCTCCAGAGCGTGGGGACGTCTCAGGCGGCTTGCCTGCCTCGGCCCCCCAGGCTTGTCTTCCGACGTCCGTGCTCTCAGGGCAGGCTGTGGGGATGTCTCAGCCAGGGCGCTCGTCTCAGGCGCGGCGCTTGCTCCTCCCTCACTTCTTCCCCCCTCCTTTTCTCGTTTCCTCCTCCCTTTCTTCTTCCCTCCCTCCCTCCCTCCCCCTCCTTTTCTTCTTTTCTCCCCCCCCTCCCGTCTGGCCGTTCGGGTTCGAACTGTTCTTGGCTGCGCTTCCAGGCGCCCTGCTGATCCCGCTCATCGCAAAAAGGCGGGCTTGAACTAGCACTCCTGGGGATCCCGCTCAGCATGAGAGAAGCAGCTTCAACCAACACCCCCGGAGATCCCGCTCAACGTAACTTGCGAGGGATCCCCACACATCCCTCTCTGAACGGATGCATAATGGTTATGGCTAACTGCTAGCGGGAAGCACGCGGCGGCCGACGCATACATGTACACTGTACACACGTGCCGAAGACACCACTGGCGACAACGATCGCCAAACAGCGTCTGCAAGTAGCGGGCAACCTTCGGAGGCCGACACATGCATGTACACACACACGTATGCCTCAACCGCCACTGGCGGCTGGTGACAACGATTCGCAAACGACGCCGCTCACACAACGCCGCGCTCGCGACAACGCCAGGTCAACACACCGCCTGCGTGTGCTTCTACCCTGCGGCTGGACGGCGGCGGCTCGCCCACTACCTGACGACGGCGGTCCCACATTGAGAGACGGTACGCGCCGCAGTGACCGCCGACTGCGCGCGCGCCAGGAACGCCAGGGACAACGCGGCGCTGAACACGACGCGTGGTGGCTGAACCTCTGTGTGTTCTTCCGCGCCTCCCAGGTGGCGTACATGCTCCTGGGCTGGCCGCCTCCCCGCGAGCTGCTGGGAAGAGGCCCACCACGAGGCCGTGGGGAGGGAGGGCCCTCAAACGCCTCGAGGCTTCCGAGAGGTCGACGGTGTCGAGAGCCGTTTTGCTTGCCGGGAGTTGCGGGATGACGCTGCCAGAAAAAAAGCTAACAGCCCGCGCCCTCTAGACTCTACAGTCGGACCTGGGCCAGAAGAGCATCACTCGAGAACATGAGACACTCCGTCGGCCAAAACAAATAGAACATCCAACTATACCTCCCCACGATGCACAAACACATCCAACAAAAACGAAAGATACCGGATAGAACCCCCAATCATCATTTTTAAGGGGTGGCTATGGGGCTATATGGCTGTATGGCTATAGGACTATAGGGCTATTAAGGCTATAGGGCTATAGGGCTATAAGGCTATAGGGCTATATGGCTATAAGGCTATGGGGCTATAGGGCTATTAGGGCTATAGGGCTATAAGGCTATAGGGCTACAAGGCTATGGGGTTTTAGGGCTGCTGGGCACCCTGGCACCTGGGTACCCGGGCGTGCCGCCGAAATCGGCGCCACACCTCACCTAACGATACGAATCCGCTAGGACCCCTACAGAGGCAAGTTCTGATTGGGGAAAGACACCAGGGTACACTCCCCGAGCCGATCTCGATCTTATGCCTCGGTCCGACCGCATGACCTGATACCAAGCGCGGACGGCCTTTCTGGAGCTGGCTCAACAGAGCAACCCGACGCTTTCTCCACTGCCCTTGCGTGGGCGGCCCAGGGCTGCCGGGCCCGATGCCACGTGCGGGCGGCTTCTTTTTTACAGTTCCCCTCGCGTCCAGCCGCGCCCGGCCCGATGTCTTATTCGGACGGTCGCGCCCGACAGCAACTGCCGACGAGGAATTTTTTGCAGCGAGCAAATCTCGCTCTGGCCGCTGGCAGGACGAGCGAAATACTTGCTGTCAGCACCATGCGCTCTTGTCAGAAGTGCCGCAGTGAGAATGGCAAGAGGAATGCCCCCCTCGCTCTTCAACTTGTGCTTCCTCATGTCCAGAGGAGGAAGCTGAAATTGTCGCTGTCGTCGTGGTCGCGCCCATGGTCCACGCGAACTCGCTCTCACACCCAGCTGCTCTAAGAAAGAGTTCTTCAGCGAGGCGTGACAGGAGTATGAGATGCACATGTACAGATCTTGGCACCGAACGATTGAATGTGGCGGCCTGGCGCGAACGGCAGAAGTCGGAGAAGAGCGGACTGAGACATCGGCGGCTCAAAATCGGTCCCTGGACCCCTCCCAAGGTCCAAACGCACCAACTTTCCGAGCTGCGTCCAGCCGTGGCGATGAGAAGGCCCCCGCACGCCAACCACTGCTGCCTCAGCCCGCCCTCCTCTGAGCCTCGAAGGCGCCGCAGACGCGCCGCGAGCCACCGCGGATCCTGAGACGAACCCATTGGATCCCTGCGGCAACCCCAGAAGAAGAGAACACGGGACATAAACAGAACCTGCTGGCGCTCCGGCGCCGCAAGGGGGGGGGGCCCAGCGCGGACACGAGAAAAATCCGCGCGGAGCGCCAAACGTTTGTGTTTGTGTGCTTTTTCTTCTCCTTGGCAAATTCCGTACTCTTGCTTTCTCTCTTGTGACGTTGCGCCGAAGTCGGTGACCTCGAAAACGCGGTTCTCGTAGATAGCAGCAACCATGTTTACAAAACGATTAGGGCATCCAAATCTTCGAAGCGACATGGCCAGCGCCTGAGGCGACACAGAATCGAAGGCCTTTGCCCAATCCAGCGCCAAGAACAACCCAGCCCGCCCTGCAGGGAGGGGCAGCTGGGGAGGCACCAGCACGCGGGCGCACACGGGCACGGGCGTCCCTGCTCGCGCTGCGCCGCCACGGCTGGGCCAGCCGTGGGCCGAGGATGGGCGCAGCCTCGCGACGCACCCACCCTCCCATGTGGAAGGACGCGAATGGCATTGAGACAGGATGGCGGCGGGCCTCCTCATCCTCCTCGTCGTCGTCCTCCTCCTCCTCGTCCTTCTCCTCCTTCTCGTCCTCCTCCTCGTCCCGCTCTTCCTCCTCGTCGTCCTCCTCCTCCTCCTCGCCCTAGTCGCCGTTGTCGTCCTCCTCATCTTGGCAGCCCCGAACTGTACGGGAAAATTGGGTACGATGTTCAACGGCAAATGCTGTCCAAAACCGACAGCTGCCGCCGTTGGGTAGGCGACCTTTTGTATAAAATTGATAACGTCCGCGGCGACGCCGACAGCGTCTTCTGTTCAAAATGGACGAGAACTGCTGTCCGTCTTCGCCACCACTCCTTCCGTACCAATTTCCGTGGTACCAATCCTCCTCGAGTCGATCCCTTCCGAAGAGCAGAAGCAGGACTCAAGGAAGGCCCCATGCCCGCCGAGAAACTACAGGGGGAACAGCGCGCCGGGGCCCCGGCACCCTGTCGCGGACGCAGTCCACCGGTAACAGGCTGCCCCGGAGCGCCACCTCCCCGGCGCAGGCGGCGTCCGCCCGCGGCGGGCGGTCCAGCAGCACCGAGAGGAGCGCGAGGGCCACGGGAAGGCCCACCGACGGACCTGTGGGAGATGGGTGGTACTTTTGACTGTAGAAGGCGACGCCAGCCAAGAGAAACTCGCGCTCCACAGCGAGCCGCAGCGCCGATGCATCGGCGATGCGGCGCGGCAGCTTCCCAGGGATGGCGAGGTCGAGCATGAGTCCCCGTAGACTGGAGCGGAAGGAGCTGGAGGAGCAGGGGGACCAGGGGGAGGCGGAGGGGAAAGGAGGGCCGGCGGTGCGCCCAGGGGGAAAGGCAGAGGAGATTTGGCCTCCTAAGGAGGCTCAGGAGCCCGAGAAACTTTCCAAGCCTCCCCCAAAGTCCCGACAATCTTCTCGGAAGACCCAAAGAGGCTTCCGTGAAACACCGCCGCCTCCGAAAAAACTTTCACCCTCTCACCTCACTTCCTCCCGTCGCGTGCCGCCGGTCCAGTCAATTAAGATCACAAGGATGAGTGACGGTCCGAGGGGCCCATTTCCTGCCCCTCGGCTTCAATTCGGGTGCCCAAAGGCCTTGTATCAATACCGCGCGTCCATATGTCCTGGTCACACTGAATTGGTGCTTATCCCGATGCCCTGTCGTCGTCGTGCCAACAAGGATCTCGGTACGGCGATCTGGACATTTCTCCCGGGCTTTCGTCGCGCTTTAGGTCCTAAAGCTGCGAATTCTCCAGCAGCGCCGCGGACGGAGCACATCACATTTTCGAATTCGGCTCTCTCCTTGGAGCCGCGCGCATTAATGTAAAACATCTCCACTTTTTGTACGGATGGAGGGCAGCACCTGCTCAACATCTTTATTTTCAGGATTTTTAGTTTCACGGTCATAGAAATATAATTTTCCAACCACTGCGCGGTTGAAATACAAATCCTTGTCAAGAAACCTTGGTCTCCCCAGGGCCACCCTTTCATGTTAGGATCCTGAAGCTTGATCCCTCCACAGCTCTGGAGTGAAGACGAATTAGGTATAGACTGTAAGGATGGTGAGGGGCTCTTCAGAACACTCGCGACAAACTCATGAGCCAAACAGGATGCCTCTGGAATGCACCGACAAGTCTACCACGTCCGAGAGTTCAACACACCCAGTGATCGACTGTAAATTCACAAACTGACTTCCTCAGTCCGCCCCATCTGAATGAGCTCGAAACTCTCGCTCGGCAGAATCGGGAGCGGCCAAAAGGGGGGTGTCCAAGAGGGTGGGGTGCAAATCATGACCGGCGGCATGTGCGCGGCCCAGCGGGGGGGCCAGGGACGTAATGGAAAAAGAAGAGGTGCCATGAAATCTGAAGAAATATCATGGCCCGCGCCATGATATCCACCCCCCCCTAGTCATCACCCCCCTCTTTTCCGCCCCCGAGCCCAGGTCGCGCCAACGGCGTCTGCGAGCCCGGTGAGCTGCGCTGCCGAGGAACGTCGCAAACCAGCCTGGAAGGTGGGAGAGGGCCCGGGGTAGCGGCCGCGGCTGCGAAGGCTGAACCACTCGAGAGCGGCACAAACTCCAAGGTCCACCATCCCTGAATCGTCAAGAATCAACAAACTGATTTCCTCAATCCGCCCATCTGAATGAGCTCGAAACTTTCGCTCGGCAGAAGCAGGGGCTCTCAATCTCTGACCGCAGGCGCGACGCATCCTGCTACCGCTCAAAATTACACGTTGCAACAACAAGCGGTACAGATACCGGCGGCCCGTGTCCCGCGCTTCGCTCTCGGGCAAGAGGGGGGGAGGAGGAGGAGGAGGAGGAGGAGGAGGAGGAGGAGGAGGAGGACGAAGAGGAGGAGGAGGAGGAGGAGGAGGAGGAGGAGGAGGAGGAGGAGGAGGGGAGGACGAGGAGGAGGGGGGAGGGGGCTCTCAATCTCTGATCGAAGGCGCGACGCATCCTGCCACCGCTCAAACTCACATGGCGCAGCAACAGGCGGCACGGATACCGGCGGCCCGTGCCCCGCGCTCCGCTCTCGGGCAGGAGGGGGGGAGGAGGAGGAGGAGGAGGAGGAGGAGGAGGAGGAGGAGGAGGAGGAGGAGGGGAGGAGGAGGAGGAGGAGGAGGAGGAGGAGGAGGAGGAGGAGGGAGAGGGGGAGGGGGAGGAGGACGAGGAGGAGGAGGAGGAGGAGGAGGAGGAGGAGGAGGAGGAGGAGGAGGAGGGGGAGGAGGAGGAGGAGGAGGAGAAGGACTAGACCGACCCGACCTTCCCTCGGGACGGCAACCCCGACGCCAAGTGTCGGACCGAAGCGGCCCGGGATCGCCCCTGTCTTGGAGGGGCCCTGCCTCAGAGCCTCCGTCGCCGTAGGCTCGGAGGTCTGCAGCAGACCTGACCAGAGCAGCTGCAACTGTGCTGCTTTCGAGTTGGAGCGGTCTTCCTTGGTCATAACGTCGACTGGCATCAGGGGACGGGGTACCCAGCGGACAACTCCCGCTTCCAGCCAAGTCAATGGCCATCCTCTGGTTGGTCCTACTCCCCGAAGTGTCCTGGCCCAGAGTATCAAACAATCTATTGTCGTCAACAACGCTCACATATCCCTCGGGTTGAGCATCAGCAACGCTTGGTACCAGGAGCGTGTCGCACTCCAGTGCATTACCCATCCAGCTGTTCCATCAACGAATTTGTGACTTCATCTTTAAGATGCCACGCTGCTCCTCAACTACGCCTTTCTATATCTGTGCATTACCCCTCACCCGTTCAACATGTGCATCATTATCTTTTTCTCGAGGGGCAGCGACTGCATATCCATCTTCAGCACAACTGATCTACGCCAAGCTGAGCTCAACCAGGCCAATTACATGCCCGGATACAGGGTGCCTAAGATGGCTCAACCTAGCTCCGACTCCACGCCGAGTCCACGTCAACTGAGCTCAGTGAGGGCCTGGACTCAGAGTGCCCAAGAGGGCCCACCACCGCTTCCGTGTGGCAGCATGCCGCCTCCGAGACGGCAGGACGGTCTGTTGACGAGACGACCACCCTCGCTGCTTGACTGGTGCTTCTCCGCAGCCCCTCGGGCGACGGCCGGCCCGGGAACCAGGCAAGGGGGCTCGCAGGGGGACGCGCGCGAGGCGTCAGGGAACGAGGAGCACGGGGCGGCCCCGCACCCATCCCGACCGCGGGCAGAGGCTTCGCCGAGAGGAGAAACCAACTTTCGAGTGAAGCAAAATTCTGTAGTTGACCCCCGGTTCGAAGACTCCTCCCTCCCTCCCCCTACTCCTCCTCCACCTCGCCCCTCCGTCCTCTCTCCTCTGTTGTGCCTCCTTCCTCCTCACCTCTTCCTCCTCCCCTCTCTGTCGTGCCTCCTGCCTCCAGACTCCTCCGACCTTCGGGCTCACCCATCCTCCCTTCTCACTTCTCCGTCCTCCCCGAGAGGGGCGGGGAGGAAGAGGGGGATGAGAGGGGGGAGGGGGGATCATGAGAGGGAGGAGCTGGAGGAACGGGAGGAGGATGGGGAGGGGGAAGAAGAAGGAGGGAGGAGAGAGAGAGGAAAAGGGAGGTGACTGAGGAGAAGGATGCTATTCCCTTCTTTCTCCCCGGCGGACCGTCCCTCAGGAGGCCCGCGTTGGGGAAGTGGACCTCAGCACCCGCTCGCGCTCGGGGGAACGACTGGCGGGGAACATCTTCCCCCCGTCCGCAATTGGCCTGGCAACGATCGGTGTTGGTGTATAGTTGGCGTGCTCCGTTCTTGCAGCGTGCAGCTGAGAAAGCGTGAGACCCAATGGGGGGGATAGGAGGACGATGACCACGACGAAGGACATATGCAATGGGCAATGTGAAGACATTGCGAACTGCATGAACGTAAACTTTCGAAAGTCCGCACGCACCTCCGGAAACAGAAATTCAGTATTTTTTCTTTGATGGAACCTCGTAGTCTACCAGAAAAGAGTGGTTTCAAACGTGTGCCTCACCCGGGAGCGTATGTGGTGCAAGCTATGTGGTGCGAGTTGCTCGCAATGAGTTGTCCACTCCACTGCTCGCGCAAACATTCCACCCACCCACCCGCAACTTGGTTTGCAAACCTCATGCGGTGGCGATTGCGATGAGTGCTTGGCGCTGGCTGGTGCATCTCTGCGGCCGCGCCAGCCCGCGCATGCGCGCGCAGCGGCCAGGTAGTTTGGCGTGACCGACGCGGCCGCGGTGGTGCTGACCGCTCGGCACATCCAGGCGGACACTTGAGTGCGAGTCGGCGACTTGGGCGGGTGCGGTATCATGGCAACGTCGACACTTGTAGATAAGATGATGATGATGATGATGATGATGATGATGATGATGATGATGATGATGATGATGTTGATGCTGATGCTGATGCTGATGCTGATGATGATGATGATAGTAGCGATGTTGGTGACGATACTGACAGCGACGACGGCACGGCCAGTGACGGCGCTGATACCGATCACGCCGACGACGATGACGGCGTCTTCGCGTCAGTGATGAAGGTTTTGAAAAGAAGTCGAGATGCGCACGCGGCACACGCGCGAGAATGGCTCGCATGGTATTATTTGACGCGGACCGTGCCACCCCAGCACGCGCGCAAGGGCGTTCGAACGATTTCGACATGCGCGCGCGAAGCTTTTTTGGTAGGAATTCATGCACATGCTGACTAACTTATGGTTTTCTTAAATTCGCAAGAGCGCGCGCACGCTTTTGTTGAAACTCTGTGTTGCGAACCCTTTTTTTGTTATTTGGGCTCTCGATTTTGAAATCCTTCCGAAACCGATAGTTTTTAAGGATTTCGGCATGCGCGCGCGACGACGCGCGCGCGTGCACTTCGTCCCATGTTTTACAAAGGATTCTCGCGAGGGCACGCGCGCAAGGGCGTTCGAACGATTTCGACATGCGCGCGCGCGAAGCCCGTGTGGTAGTCTTTTCTGAAACTCTTTGAGCACCTATGGCTAAGATTTTCTGAAATTCTCTAAAAGCGCGTGGTTTTCTCAGCAATTCGCAAGAGCGCGCATTTTTCTCTTCTGTTTTTGAAAATCCGTGTTTCGAAACCAATGATTTTACATGTTTTTTTGGACGCTCGATTTTGGAATCCTTCCGAAACCGAATGTTTTGAGGGATTTCGGCATGCGCGCGACGACGCGAGCATGTGCACTTCGTCATATTTTTGGCAAGGGATTCTTGAAAACTTATGGCTTTTGGTAAACGAATGTGCGCGCATAGATTTTTTGCAGAGAATGGCGGAGGGGGGGGCGGCGATACTGGCCTGGCTGGGACAGTATGAAATCAATGGTAGGATGGACATTGGGTCAGAATCCTGTGTGTTCTGCATCGGCTCCTGGGGGGTCCTGGAACCCCGGGAGGGGGGAGGGGTGGCAGAAGGCACCTCCCTCTAGAAAGGGGAACCTGTGAGGTGCAAGCTGTGTGGCCTAAGCTGCGTGGTGCAGCAGCCACGGGGCGGCCACGGGGCGGCAACGCGGCGAAGCCTCGGCGGACCCCCCGTGCGCGGCAGGCGGCAGCGAGGCGGTCGCGGGCGGCGACGCGGCGAAGCCTCGGCGGACCCCCCACCGTGGGCGGCGACGAGGCAGCCACGCGTGGCGACGCGGCGGAGCCTCGGCGGACCCCAGGTGGGCGACAACGGGGCGGCCACGGGCGGCGCGGCGGATCCCCCAAGTGGGCGGCAACGAGGCGGCCACGGGCGGCAGCGTGGAAACTCCTCGACAACCAACGACTCAGGGAGACAAGCAAGAACCCCGAACAGTGCAAGCAGCAAGTACATACGAGATTCCCAACGATTTTCCTGAACAACATCTCGAACAATATCCCGAGCAACCGTGCCCACCATATATACTGGCCAAGGCCATCATCAACATCCTCAGCAATATCCTTCTCGATATTCTCAACGATGTCCTGCACAATATTCAGTGGCCCTCAATATGATACCAATTATCCCAGAGCGACCCTACCTAGGATTTGGAGCCCCGAAGAGAGCAATATTAGTAGTAACGGTAAACGCCGTCCCTCTCCTTCTCCTCATCGTTGCAGTTGTAGCAGTAGCGGTAGTAGTAGTCGTAGTAGTAGTAGTAGTAGTAGTAGTAGTAGTAGTAGTAGTAGTAGTAGTAGTAGTAGTAGTAGTTAGTAGTTAGTAGTAGTAGTAATAGTAGTAGTAGTAGTAGTAGTAGTAGTAGTAGTAGTAGTAGTAGTAGTAGTAGTAGTAGTAATAGTAGTAGTAATAGTAGTAGTACTAGCACAGCTTAATACCTACATCTACATCTAGACCTACATCCACATCTACACCTACAGCTACAGTTACATGTACACATGCATCTACATCTACATCTACACCTACATCTACATCTACAGCTCCACTCACATCTACATCTACATCTACATCTACATCTACATCTACATCTACACCTACATGCACATCTACATCTACATCTACACCTACATCCACATCTACAACTACACCTACATCTACATCTACATCTACACTTTCGCATTGGTTTTGCTTTTGCTTTGCATTGCCTTTGCTATTGCTCTTGCATTTGCTTTTGCCTTTGCCTTTGCTTTTGCTGTTGATTTTGCTGTTGCTATTGCTGTTGCTTTTGCTTTGCTATGCTATGCTGTGCTATGCTGCGCTATGCTATGCTATGCTATACTGTGATATGCTGCGCTATGCTATGCTATGCTATGCTATGCTATGCTATGCTGCGCTGCGCTATGCTATGCTATGCTAAACTATGCTATGCTATGATATGCTGCGCTGTGCTATGCTAATCTATGATATGCTATGTTGTGTCATGCTATGCTATGCTATGCTGCGCTATGCGGCGCTATGCTATGCTATGCTAAGCTATGCTATGCTAATGCTGCGCTGCGCTAAACTGAGCTAATAAGCTAGGCTAGGCTAAACTAAGCAAAGCTAAACTAAGTTAAGCTAGGCTAAGCTAAGATGAGATAAGCAAAGCTAAGCTAAGGGGGCGCAACTAGGGGAACCACGGGGCGGATACTGGGGGAACCGCCTGGGCCGGTTCCCACTGCCCGGCCCTTTAAGCCAAGAGAGTAAGAACCCTTCTAGGCAGAGCCTAGGTAGGGACTGTGATCGGAAGATGACCTCCGTAGTGCGTCAATGTGGTCTTACTGTGACCTCCATATGACCTCAAGCGCGACGGCGTGACGACTCCCAAACGGGGCTGCCTGGTAGGTACGCCTGTTATGCATGCTGCATGCTTGCTTGCTGGGCCATCGCGTGGATTAACGGGGATCTTTGGGTCCTGGCAGCCGCGGCATGCAGGGCGGGCGACGCGGGACACCCAAGGCCTGCGGGATCACCCGGGCTACTCGGGCCTGGCGGCCGCGGCCTGCAAGCCAGCCGACTGTGAAGCTCTGCGCCGATGATGACCCAGGGCGGCCGCCCAGTGCCTGTGAAGCAGGTTATTCTCCAATCTATGCTAACGCTCCACTAGACCTCAAGGCCGCCCCCCGATTGTGAATCACACCTCGCCACTCATCTCTCGGGACCGCCCCGCGACTGCGAAGCACAATAAAAGCGAACTACCAAAAGAAGGCCGAGGAGGATGAGGGGGAGGAACACAAGCACGAGAAGGGGGGTGGATGATGGAAGGGAAGGAGGAGGTGAGGAGGAGGAGGCGGAGTAGGAGGAGAAGGATGATGATGATGATGATGATGATGATGATGATGATGATGATGATGATGATGAGGATGAGGATGAGGAGGAGGAGGAGGAGGAGGAGAAGGAGGGGGAGGAGGAGGACGAGGGGAGGAGGAGGAGGAGGAGGAGGAGGAGGAGGAGGAGGAGGAGGAGGAGGAGGAGGAGGAGGAGGACGGAAGGAACACTAATGCAGGAATTCAGTGGGAAGACTGCGTCTGCTCACAGACACAGCGTTAATTACACAGACACGATGGAGCAGGATGAGGAGGGGAGAGGACAGAGGAGGGAGGGGGGGGATTGAGGAAGAGGAGGAGGAGGAGGATGATGCTGATGATGATGAGGAAGGAGGAGGAGAAGGAGGAGGAAGAGGAAGAGAAGAAGGAGGAGACGGATGAGGAGAAGGATAATGAGAAGGATGAGGAGGAGGAGGATAACGAGGAGGAGGGAACATGGAGCAGGATGAGGAGGGGAGAGGGGGAGGAGAAGGAGGAGGAGGAGGAGTATGGGGAAGAGGAGGTAGGGGGATGGGAGATGATGATGATGCTGCTGATGATGATGTGGATTGGGATGGGAATGATGATGCTGCTGCTGATGATGCTGATGATGGCGATGATGATGATGGGAAAGGAAACGAGGAGGAGGACGAGGAGGAGGAGAAGGAGGAGGGGGAGGATCATGAGGAGAAAGAAGAAGAGGAGGAGGGGACGGAAGGAATCTTAATGCAGGAATGCAGTGAGAAGACTGCGTCTTTCACAAGGCACAGAGCTACCATAGACCCTCCGAAAAAAAAGAAGAAAGACCAGAACGCAGCAGGATACCCTACGCGCAAGACGGACCTGGAGCTTAAACTACCCCTGGACCCCGGGCGTCGAGTGGCTGCCGACTCTTGGGATGGCGGCCAGCCTCCAGCTGGACCAAGGCCTCTCTCCGAGAGGGAGATCCAGAATGCCGGGGCAGG